TTAGCGAGCATTCAATAACGTCTTGAACTATCTTAATCCCTTTTAAGTGAAAACCTTTGTTTAAAACCTGAATTCAACAAGCCTTTGCATAACTACTCTGTGATTATTTAGATGGCAAGTGTAAATCTCTTCCGTTAATGGGTTTTTTAAGGAAAACGGAAACTTCGAAATCACCTACGATCACCATGGATTACCTTGAAATCTAAACGCAATTCATGACTTACAACAGTGTTCCAAGTTTGTGTGACTATGGCAACAGTTGCACCTTCTCTTTTTCTATGACCGTGTTTCTTCCTTTAAATGCACAAAAAAAATTTACGTTATTCTCTTGTTATTCATTTTCCTAGCATAAGCCGAAATGTTTTGTGATTCATTAACGACAGTGAGGCTGAAAAGTCTTTTCCACTTGTCACTATGAACAGGATAAATAAATATGACTTCACTATCTCAAGGATTTTTTATTGTAAAGGATAACAACCCAGTGCACCCAGCCTTTTCCTCCAGGAAGCATTTTTCCACTACTATTGCATGCAATGCTGCCTTTTTTGTTGTTGACAGTTGGTAATTCACTAACATTACAACATCTTTTGGAAATAGAGTTCAGAATTCATAAACTGTAATTAAGAAGACAACATTAGGCTCGTGTGGATATTTTCAGATGGTGATTGAAATACATTTTGAAAAGTTGAATTGAAAGTTAAGGTACTTTGAAATATAGTAGGTTACGCACAGCACGACAAATTATTTAACTGCAACGTACAAGTCATCTTCGATTTTCAGGAATCAACATCTTTCTTATGCAGGGTCATGGGTGCGTACTGCTGCCAAGTCTAATACTAGGACGAAACGGCTGTTCAGTGCTCCCAGGCCTCCAGTGTTCCTCCAGCTAATGTCAGTCCATGATAGATTCCAAGCTGAAATCAAATTATAAATCTCCACAAACCTCTAGATTAAATCAAGACATTTTTACCAACGAAGAGATATTTCTTTTCAGCAATGTAACTATCAAGCTGTGCAGTTGTATTCATAGTTGGAAAGATGTCAGTTAGATGCACCAGAAAGTAGCTCAATCAATAAACACGATGCAATTGATGATGATGGTAGTGTTGAGGAGGAGGATTAGTTCAGGTGGACAGAAAAGAAGGAGATTCACTGAAAAAGAAGAATTGATTTCAAGTGGTCACAACACTTGGTACTTTATTTCATCACTTGAGATCAATTCTTATTTTTCAGTGACTACTGTTGTGCCTACTTGAACCGATCATTCTCCTTTTCACTACCATCACTATCAACCGTAGCATCTATATTGATTGAGCTACTCTTTAGAGCATCTAACTGACGTTTTTCACGTTACGAAAACGACTATACAGCTTGATGATTATGTTGCTGGAAACAAACATCTCTTCGTTGGTAAAAGTACTCTGTCTTTCATATAAGGAGATGTTTCTTTAATGCCTCTTCCAATATGCTTAGTAAGACATCATTTTTCCTAGACTGTTTTTTTCTGAAAGAGTGAGGTTATCTAAAGACATTTAGTGAAGTTGTCTGTTCTGAATGGGATTGTTTAAGACTTTTTACCTTATGTTATTTGCTTGACTACTAACGTAGCGAAATATGTATCCTTCCTTGTCTGCAGCCAAAAGATAATTCATAGGCCACCTTTACTCAAGTTCCTTTGAATTTTTTTACATATTCTTCGTAAAATATAGTTAGATTATTGAAAAATGTCACCGATGATGTTCAAATCTAATGGTTCGTTCAATAACGCTCCAGTTATTGATGGGCATATCACTTAACTCATAAATGTTCAAATTTTTTAAAGTGCGACAATTTATCACTCCACCAATACATTCTGAAATCAGAAAATAGAAAACGTTACACATATATAACTTTGACTACATTGTTACATATATGTACAATTTGATGGAATTTGGTGTTTCCTTATTTGAAAGTACTAACCTTCATTACATATCAACGTTCGCTGATATACATATATGTGTGACAATTTCAAATGCTAGCTGTTGTATCATTGGAAAAATGATTTTGTACTCTTTCCTTCTTCTTTTTAGTTATATTTGTCTTGTTCCTCAACTAAGTTTGAGCTTTTTTTCTAACTGATAATCATGGTGGTGGCAGTTACATAAAGAAACTTCTTCCCAAAACGTAGGTGGGTGCTGCAGTATATAGATGAATTGTGAGAATGGGACGATAGTACTACTTCTAAACAACACATCTAATTTGGTGCGAATGTTATATACTTCGAATTATTTAGTTCAGAAGACCGTTTAGTCAGTATAACATGTTACTGGCACTTCTGAAGTTACTACAATCGCTTTGAGGATCCACTGGTAAAAACTGTGTCAATAGGTGTTGTTCTTCGTGACCGAAATTAGGATATATTTGTCATCACTGATCAAAGTTTTCCCTTAAGATCTGTAAATAAATAACATGAAATCGTCTCAAAGGATTTTTCAGTCTTTTCTATTGACAAGAAAGACTGTTTGTACTAGTAGCATATAAGTCTCCCATGTAAGAGCCATACGATTCATAGGTTATATGGTATTATGTCAGAAAGCGTCACTTTCGTGAAAATGTTATTTCTGACAAACCTACGTTCTGACACGTTCTTCACAGCAACTGTATTAAAATTAATTTACTCCAGTAATATAATTAAACGTTATATGAAGTTTCACAGTTAAAGCAAGGATTTGTAGCTGAGATCAGTTTCAAAATGTGATATAAAAAATTGCTGCAACAATTGAGAAAGCTATAGTTTAACATTTGTTTTCCAGATATTAATTTTTGCACCACTGATATCACTAGCAATCATCTATGACTTTTTTCAGAGTTTTTCTTTCCTAGACTATTCACCATCCTTTTTCCACATATAATTCATTTAGATGTCAGTTTTCAGATTAATCTATGCCCTAGATTCTTTGAGATGTTCACTGATAAGAAATCATTTGTCACCTTGTTGATGAATCAAAATGTGACGTCTGAAATTTCCATGACTACACAGATATTACCAAGTTGCAAACAATTACAAGCGGAAAGCTATCTAAAAATGAAAGTTTTGTTCAACTGACTTTCTCCTTTGTTCCAAAACAAATCAGGATTCCAAATAAGGAAAGTATTGCATTTAATATCACAGAATGAATTGTTTTATCTGTATATGCAAAAGAGGATAAAAAATTTAGAAATATTTTATCTCAGCAAAGAAGATTAATATTTTTCAAGCTTGATAAGTAGGCAGCAGGATTCGTTTGATCTGAATAAATTTGAAACTTTTAATTGGATTCATGATGAATGGCTAAAAATTGTCAACTAAACATGAAAGTTGCATTTGTTTTTGTAGAAAGTTCATGTCAGTTTTCTTGCGTTCATTTTTACCCATAAGCTTAGGAACAAAATGGTGTAAGTCACGCAACTACACTATTAAATCCTGCTTAATGCACGACTGTTGTGGCTAACAGTTTATGGTTTAAGTCATTCACTGATGACGCAGACTACTAACATTAACAAGCGTTTATGAGTTACCACAAATGTTCATTTCAAATCAAAGGATCATCTTTTCAGGAGCAACTTAACTGAAGCTCTAGTATCGTCAACTTGTAGATAGTCAGTTGAAAAATATAATGAAAATCGAAAAATAAGTTAAGAAAAGCTGTCAATTCAGGAAGGTGACAGCACAGTATTAATTATTTCTTTAACTGTCATGATCATGCAAAAAACAGTTTATTACATGGACAATTCATCGCATACAGGTTTCACTGAGGAAATCATGCTAATGAGGTCATCAATGCAGCAGACTGTTGTGCTGCATGTACGCTTATGAACGATAGTGCAGGCGAATCGACCATCACTGTAGCTGGTGATTCCTACGTACTCCGCATTCACCAAAGTCCACTGATACATTCCGAAATGTATCCATACAGATTAGTGATATGACACAGATTCATTCCAGTCAGCGGAAAATACTTGAACCTGCCAGTTGCGATAACCAAGTTTTTGCACAAACTCCAGTCCTACAAGAATATAATCTGACCTCAACCACTTGGTATCAAGATCCTTGACTTCAGCACTAACTGAAATAAGTGGTGACCTTTCGAAAGAACTGCAGATACACTTTGGTGTGTGTACCCATGAACAAAATATTTATCTTCAAAGACTTCTCTGAAAGTATTTCTAACATCTCACTGAGGTCAGTTACGTATATAACTTTCTCTAACCAGTTTTCATGACCTACAAACAAAACAGGCAGGAAATAGGCATTCAAAAGGTCGTAGATTTGTAATTCTGGTTTGCATGTACATTATTTTCTAATCGGCCGTTTTGAAGTTTATGTTGTGTTCTTAAATATCTTTGACCACTAGAAGTAATGAGGGATGTGTCAGAACTAACTGATTGGTTCAAAATTAATGTATTCGTACTTTATTTTAGTCTCGTGTACAAAATATAAACTTGAAATGATAAATACATAATTTAGGTTTATAAGTAGATTTGAAAGATTTGTTTTTGTACTATTACTATAAAGTACTTTAAGGATCCTCGTTCCAAGTGATTTCTTTGAGATAAAAGTTGCTTAAAGTTGAACAACCCCCTCAAAAAGTGCTTTCATTGAGGTGACACAAGCAGTTAACTTCATTGCAACGTTTCTTACTAAGCTCTGAATTCAGTGAAATTCCACAAAAATCCATTCATCTACTTTGTGCAACTAAAAATATTATACCGTTAGTTTGAATATTGTACATATATATTGAATAAGCTGATTTTCTCAATTACATTTTACAGGATCTCATCCGAATTTGGAAACATTTTTCTACTGATTTTGGTCCAAGGGATTATGACCACGTATACAGCAGATTCTACCACTGAGGTTTGTAACTGTACGGGGACTTTATTAAATCAAATATTTCAACAAACAACTCTGTATCAGTTAAAACACTCAACCAATCTGTTAAGCCAGTCAGGCAACCTGCTAATTTAAATTATTCAATGGAATGGGCGCGGATACAACTTACAATATTACCTATTCTATCACTGCTCATTGGATGTATAGGACTAATTGGAAATTGTTTGAATTTCTAGTTCTTCACGTTTATCCTACATCACAGGTCACATTTGGAGGTGAATGCACAGCACGCGTAAATTTATTAGGTTTGGCACTGGCTGACTTTCTTGTTTGTCTGGCATCTCTACCACTGGCGTATGTCCAGAGGCGTCATACAAATCATAATTTCATGCTCTACTATACCATATATGGACCTGGTCTTGTAACATATTTCCTCACAGTCAGCGTGTGGATGGTATTACTTATGAGTATTGTACGGTATCTTGTAGTATGCCGACCATTAGCGTCACGTGCATGTCTTACATCACGTCATATGCTGTACATTATTGCTCTGCTGTATGCACTAGCATTACTTTTCCATATACCATCATTTTTAGCTCATACGTATAGAGAAGATAAAGCTTCACAAAGACGCGCATACAATTCTAGCAATCAACAATTAGTGCGAAATCAGACTCAGCAGAAAAACACTTCAACGACTGCAAACAGTGCCAATTTTGAGAATTTGAAAACACTACCTCAGTGACAATATTCGTTATTGAAAGTGAGATTTGGAACAACGATAGTATGCGTATAGCCTATGCTGTTAGTCAAATTATCCTAACTAATATTGGTCCATTTATTGGTGTAGTTATTACTAATGTTTCAGTGATAAGAGCTTGTCGGCAGAGTGATGCATGCAGGAAATCCTACACATATGACTCACATAAAATATTTGAAAAGAGTATTCATAATAACTTGACTCAAGAACAATCCAGTACACAACTACGTTTACAAAAACGCCATCTTTCATACTTACAAAGAGATTCAAATAACATAAATCAACAGCAAATAGGAACTGGTAGTTGGCGAACAGGTTCACAAGGTAAAGCGCCAGTGCAACGAATACAACAAAGAGCAACAAATCGTGTCACACCATTATTACTTGCAGTGATTCTAGCATTTCTTCTATTCACTGCTCCTTTTGGTATAGTACATTTGTTTGTTTACAAGTAATGAGTAAAATGGGTTCAGTGGTCCGACATGACAAAAAAGCATTAGAACTGTATATGACATTGAATTTGACAGTAGAATGGACTAATGTCATCCAGTTGCTAGGATGTGCCTCCAACTTCTTTCTTTACTTTCTTGTTTCCACTACATTTCGTCGAACGACAAAAACGCCTTTTCCAAAGATTCTACAAAACCGCACGTGAATATCAATGCCCAAATATTCTGCATGCGATGTGCTCAGATTCAAAAGAAGACTCATCATGGGACTCCGATACAAGGACAAAGGAATTGCGTAAAAAGCTAGCCGATAATTTAGACAAACAATTATATCCACAAATTGTTGCAAATGTCAACTGCAGGCATAGTGAAAACCAATGCAAAATGAACCTTACGACTTCTAGTAGTAACCAGATTGTTGATAGTAATAATAGTAAAGGAAGTGAAAAACGGAAACAAAATTCAATAAAGTTACGATTTTATCGTGCGAATCGCAAACGTCCAAAAAGTTCACAGGATCAAATGTGTATTAATAAGTCCTACAATACTAGAAATGCTTTATGTAACATAGATAATGAGTTCCTGGGTATTCATACAAGTCCACCGCCATGCGTCAAGTCTTCAATATCAGACATTGTATCTTGTAATTGTGTAAATTTTCATCAAACGCATTATAAGTATTGATGAACACATCACTTCTAGCCAGTTCATTAAGAGCCTTGACTATATGTCCAGAATGTGCACATGTTATCGGAGGCTATGCATCACTACCTGAGAGTAAATCATGTTTGCTAAAACCATGCAGTAGTACAAGCGCCAAGAACATAACTCATTGTTTAAATGACACAGCACACGTGTCTGAGACCTTGACTGAACCGAATAATCAGAGCGTTTACAGAAACTGCGGAAATGAAAATGTGATCATTGTCGAGGATGACATCACAAAAAGCGGACTAACAAAAAGTTTCTACAGTTTACCTGCTCAGAGTGCATCAAACTAGAATGTTAACAAAATCAAGTTTTAATAAACAGTCAGTGGATTCTGATTTGATATTTTACCCTGTCTTGTCTAACATAATGAAGTTTACAGCAAACAAATAACTAGTTTATATCATAGCTACATCATAAAATACTCGCAAATGTTTGAAAACGACTACAACTTCATATTTTACAAGAAATCCTATTTATTCAGTGATCACACTAAATGTACATAGAACGAATCTTTCAACTGTAAAGAAAGCAGCTTCAAGCATTTTAGTAACTTTTTAACACTATTTTCCTCTCCTTAAGGTTTGATAATTTTACTGCATCAAGTTATTTTCAAAAAGAAACAATGCTTTTCTCACTAAGCTCAATTCAGTTGTACTTATAAATACTAAACATTGTTCATATAAACCCTTGTACTATACACGATTCAAGAGTAATGTTGAATTTTTGGTAATATAGATTAGATCGTTTTCCTAAGCAAGAGTGTGGGACGACATCATTCGAACATGGGCAAAATTAACAAAACGTTTCCTGTTAAGCAGATGATAATTTACCATTTCGTTCTTTCAATAAGGTGGCAAAATATTTTCACTCACTTATTTTTATTACCAAAATTTTTATAGAATTGATTTATTCAAAGATAACTTTGAATACCTACTAAGATATGTTAATTACTTGAGATATATTATATTAAAAGCAATGATTCAGTATCATTATTGGATGTCTGTTCTCGACTCTAACTCAGCTGAAATGGCAGATTACAGATCACTTTAGTGAATTCTTTTCATAGCTAACTTCTGGTTAACACTAAAAATATGGTCACCGTAACTGCATTTTCCAAGTTTATTGAGAATGCTGATTACCATAAAAGAACATCCTCGTCAAGCAAATTCAACGTTTTTAGCTACATTTCACCTGTCTTCATGAATATGGCATGAACTAAGTATCTCAAACTGAAAAGTAATGTTCTACTATTTCTCCTTTTAATTTTGTAGCTTTGTAGTCTATTGTGAGAGGTTCTCTTTGGACTTTTTGCCTGGAATAATCTCTACCTCTGGTTTAAGTTACTACGCTGTAATTCGACTAGGAACAACTTGATCTACTTGTGACAGTTTTTTAACTTGATAATGGCCTACACTAATCTGTGGTAATAACGGCAACTAGAGTGCACTTTTTAATTCTATTCACAAAAAAATGGATAATATACAAGGGGCATAGTAGTTTGGTTTCTATAGAGTGAGCAAATCTGGCCAACATCATTCGGCATACAATCAAAGTTCCTTTAAACAATCAATTTAATGGCATCAGTGGGTTGACAGAGTAATCTTAGTTACGTAATTTCCACTTAACTGTCTAAACAACTATTTTTATACAACAATTCTGGTTACATTTAAAAGACGTAAGATCTTAAAGTCAAACAGAAAACTGGAGGTACTTTTAGAACTAGAAATTGCTCATGAACAAAAGCCTGTCACATAAGTAGAAACCTTACTGTTTGACAAAACGTGACCGTCTCCTCAGAATAGACAGTCAAGTTTGTGATCACCTTCAAGCCAGGAAATCTCCTTAGTAGTCACGGTTCACATTCGCATATCACTGAGTCAAAATCCTACAAACAACTAGCAAAGTCCATTTAGACATTTAACGATCTCTATATGCCGAATAAATATCCTATTCAAAGACCAATAAGTAAGTGCGTAACATATAGTCGAGACTCCAAGAAGCAGAAGACGCATAGACGAATATTTTCCTAAATTTCATTTCTTAGTATTATTTCCTCAGTAAACATTATGAAGTAGTAAATACAATATAAACTAGGTCTGCTTTTATCATCACAAAGAGACACTACATAGTATTTTGAAGATCATGTATTAGAAATTCAAAAGTAACACAGCTCCATGTCAACCTGCCTTTCTGATCGCCAGGATGGGTATTGGCAGTACCCTAAAAACTGCGAAGAAGTTTAACTCAAATGAATCTGTTTACTATGTGTGTTCTGAGGATTATAGTAAAAATAGACTAGAAACTGACCGTCTTAGTGCCATGATATGCAAGTTATGCATTTTCATAGATGTCGTTTCCACTCGTACAGTGCATAAAAATAGTGAGGGATTAATAGGGTCTGATAATTTCATTAGGAAAACAAGTGAAGACAACGATAGGAGTTCTGATTTCTCTTTATATTTTTCAAATTTATTGAATTAGTGAAGTCTAACATCTGTGACCTAAAAAGATATTTTAATTGATCTAGGTTTTACGACTCACCTTCCTATACATTTTCGAAAGCTCTGAATAGTTATGCTTTCTTTTCAGTACAACTACATTCACACAGTGGTCAGAATCGGTTACTTGATTATTTCACAAATTACATAAAACCGTACATAATTAAAAATAAAAATATGATAGCGCTAGTATGAAACCATATAAAGCACCCACTGATTGAGCAATAACAAGTCAATGATATGACAAAAGGTAAATGAACTTCAGTCAGTAAGATTAACATAAATAACTTTTAAGTTCATTTAAGTCAGTCAAAGAAGCCAGAAGCCAGAATGTCTGTTCAAAGAATGTTGTGCATCATCACAAGAAACTTTGAACATAAAGACCATACATAGTAAGTATAAAATTTGTACTGGATTCGATCAAAATTAGTGACAAAACGCATGGTGATTAAGAAAACTGAAATACCCAAAATTAAACGCAGATGAAGAATAATCTGCAGTAGACAGATCAGCAACTATTTTGAGGCAGTCTGACAGGCTGAAATAAAAACAAATAAATAAAATGTATGGCGTTATTATATAGAGTACAACCAGTCATAAACAAACCGAGTTTTTATAGATGAATAATTTTGTGAATAAGCTAGTGTGACAGAGCAGTTACGTAAGCTTTTCAGAGAAGTAAGTAACAGACAGCTCAAGCAGGCATAAAGTGGTAAAAACAGTGGAAGACTACTTGAAATAATAAGAAGCCAACTCACTCACTGCTAAAATAGCAGGAAGTGATGGGAATGACAAAGCGTAATGAGCACGGAAAAAGATTTTTTCGTCACTGCGATGGCCAACATTTTTTTAAGGTGTTAACAAAGTGCCTTATCAATAAGTCCCCACAAACCTTGGTGTGAACAAAAGTAAGTTGTTTGTTTTTCTCTTATGGTGAATATGTCAGCATTAAATGATGAATGTAATTTAATGGTATTTCAAAAACCGCACCTTTCTAAAGCAGAAATAGAGATATGAAGCGAGACAGATTTTCCAAATTGGATGACTGTTGTGATGCCTCAGTTTCGTAAAAAACATTGTTATTGATCTGAACATTTTAACTTGTCATTCCCACATTGTTTTGGCGGTATGACTAATAGTCTATTTCTGCCCCCATTGTAATGTAATTTGCTGATTGGTTAATTTTTACTCTTACTATGCGAATTTCTCCAATTGCGGACAAGGTCATTTTTCATGTGTATTCTTATTCACGTGTTTTGGATTGATTCATTGTTATTATATTATATTCTCGGAGTAATACACTCTCCCATCTGCCAGCTTCGGTCTTCTCTCTCTTCGTCCCGGGGTTGCAGCCAGTGTCTCTTGCGTACCAAGTTAGCTGTCAGCTGAGCGCGCGTATTATATTCGTTTCGGAATATATACATATATCATTAGCTCCTCGAACCCATAACAATAACACAGTAAATAATCCTGTAAATATTACAAAATTACTGAATTTGATCCCACTGTGCGGCAGACTGGGATGAGCAGAAGTTAGACGATAATATTCAAAGCTTGAAATGAAACAAACTATCCACAAACATTGAGCAACACTATCATGCAAATAAATAACTTAGTCAACTAAATATACCATAAAATCAAAGGACTTCTAGCCCAAATTAGGATTTCCTGACTAAATAAGTGAGTAGTTTTTATAAAATTGGTGGTCAAAACTTTCACTAGTCTTCAGCCATCGACCTTCCCGTCTTGTAGTCAGTATCAAGTGTGTTGACAAAATTGCTGAGGTAGTAGCCATCAGATGATTAAAACGAAGATCATAGATTCACCGGAAACTGTTGGTAGTCTCAAAATACTAAGGTAGTGTTTTTGATGAACACAATGTTTATTTGCCCAATATTACAAGTTTATAGCCTGATACAACCTGCATTTCGAGCTGTCTACTTTAGTCGCTGACTTATTCCCAACACATTCTTCTAGTTTATGTAAGTCGCTTAACCCACTTTACATGTGCAATTCTTATGCAAAGTTGTTTATTTTCCTGTAATATAAAGGCCGTTCTATCCATTTACTGCACAAGTTATTTTCAATGTGTCTACAATATTTGTAGAGAGATTCTTAAATAGATGACCCTGTCAATAATATTTGTGAGTTTTACCACTCAATTTATTTAATTTCAGTCAAATAACATCGTTGGTATCTTCCTGAGCAAACAATTTTCTAGCGATGTTTGTACATTTTTATACTGAAATAGTTTTTGTTTTAACTGGTTGATTGTAAAATGGAATAAAATAAAGCGATGGTATTCTGTTTTATTCGCCTTGCTTGCTCTGTTAAGAACTCACCAATAGGGATTGAAAAACTCCATTGGTAAATTCTAATTAGTACACTTCCATATTTTCCTTTAGGTGTGACGTTTTTCGCATAATTTTCCATATATTCGCTAAAATCATCCATTTCGAAGATATGGAAATCATT